ACAGTGGACTAGTAGTCATTGAGAGAAGTTGTGTTTTTAGCAATTTCGGGAAAGTACGCTATTACAGAAAAGTGGCAAGAATTTATCACCTCTAGGAATTAATGACATAGACTAGCTTAGAATTTAAATAAGCTGTTTGTAGAATTTTTCTACTCCTTACACTGAAAAGTACTTGTTTAAGGTATCTTCATATAAAATAGGTATCTTCATATAAAAGCACGGTTGATTTAACACTTGATTCTAACCATAGCATAAAAGCTATGTCGTCCAAATACAATTATACTATTTTTTCCCCCAAATAGCAACTATTAATTAGTACAAGTTAAAATATCTGTTATCCTACCAGACCTTTTCTGGCCCCATAGTGGGCCATTAGAGATGAACAGAAAGAATGCCTGTTAATGAACTGCCAGCCCACTGCCCAACAGCGCTTTGGTGCACATAATAATAAATTACAAGAAAAACTGATTAGACTTGAGTAAGTTAGATACAATTCAAGCTTATGTTGTTGGTGGTGGAGAACATCACACTTTTCATAATATTTTTAAAGTGTTTTAATGAGCCACACTTTAGGGGAAGTTCATGATTGAATGCATCTAGTCATTCAGGGAAATCCTTTCTGTGTGAATTAATTATTCCTTTGTCAAGAAGGAAAGAAAGAAATAAAAGAAAAATATAGTGTATGTGTTTTGTTTTTCTTTAAAGGATAATATGATGAATATACACAAATGAGAATAGATGATTGGTGAGAATACTTACATACTTATGAAGATTGTATATAAATTGTATTATCATCCTGTTCCTCTGTTTCTCCTTTCTTTTCCCCAGTTAATTGGCAATTTTTATGTGCCCAGTGTACTATGAACTTGAAATTATTTCTTCCATCTTCATTTCACAACTGTTACTGCAACTCAAGTTCTTATGATCAGAATTATCACTGTTAAATGTTGATAACCTCATAGCTGATATTTCTGTATTATCGATATTCTAGCTAAAAACATTATATCTATTGCTCTCAAACAGTCGCTGGTTTTCTCTTACTACATTTTCAATGAAAACTCTCTTGCTTATGTTTCAAAAGCTTTCCTAAGGTGAATGTAGCCTACAAAACTAATGTTATTTTCCTCTAACATGACTATGTATGCACTGTCCTTTCTACCACTCACTGTTCCACACCAACCTCTATATTTCCTTTGCTGCAACTAGCTCATTCCTGCTCTCATGCCTTTCATTTAATTGTACTCCCTTCCTAGAATATTACCTCCTTTTCCTATGTCCACCTTAACTCCATCTCTTCTATGAAAACATACCTGAGTGCACTGATGCATTTCTTCTCTCTAACACCTTCAACAGTGACATACAGTTACAGTACACTTATAGTCTCATTGTTTTCTGTTTATCAGTCTTGACTTAAGGCAGATACTATGTTTGTACACTTTCTGTCTCCTCTGCTATTTTTTTTTGGGGGGGAGGGGGTGAGGTCTCACTATGTTGCCCAGGCTGGTCTCAAACTCCTGGGCTCAAAAAGTCCTCCTGTCTCTGCCTCCCAAAGTGCTGAGATTACAGGTGTGAGCCACCAAACCTGGCTCAGCTCAGCCTTTTCTGTTTAGTGTTATCTGTTTGTTTCTGATGTTTTAGACAACTTCACTGTCATAAAAATACATTCATCATAATATACCTTATGTTTAACTTTGGGTTTTATCTGTCATTATGTAAAGAAAGATGCTAACCAGATTTTCTCTTTAAGACATACATAGAAACATAAGTGGATTATATAGTTCTCCAGATGCTTTTTACTTCGGGTCACCTTCTAGTAGTCACTAGATTTCATGCCCCTTTCCCCTGTACAAGGTCAACCAAGGGTTCTGTGACTGTCGACTTCACTCAGGGTAAACACCTGTTATTAGGCTGGATTTTGCTTCAAGAACATTTAATAAAAGAAGGAAACTGTTCATCATTTCTTGGCTTCTTTGTTTTAAAATCAATGCTACACATATTTTAGTGGATAGAAAAAGGAGCATAATTTTTTAAAACTTTGAATTAAAATAAGTCACAGCAGCATTTGAAAAAGTTATCCACTCTTACATATATAGCCAGATAGAAGAATTATTGTCAGCTTCTTTAATTTTGCTGAAATTTCCTATTAATTTGTGAATGGCTAAGGTAGAACACAAGAGTATTAAAATTCCTGATCTTATCTGTGCAGACTCAAAGTATGTTAAATTCTCTAGGACGGGGTTCATTTTTGCTTTTGTATTATAATGTAACTTTTAAGAAAATATATCTGTGACACAAAATGTGTTGAAATAGATATTTCCTGGCCTTATTTCAATACCTTGGCACACCAGGATATTTGATATGCTTGGTGGAAAATGCAATGATGTGGGACTAGTGGAAACCTGATCACAGTTGGGTAAGAGTAATTCTAAAATTTGTCCTCTTGCACAGAAGCCAAATATAAGAAAGAGATTATGGGCAATTTGGGGTAGAGAAGAGCACCCTAATGTTAGCCACCCTCGAACTGAATAGCAGGCTTATCTCTCATCATAAATTACATTAAGTCTCTGTATTCTATAGAAATACCAGCAAGGCAAATGATATCATACTGTTATTATAGAAATATTAGCATATTTAACTGGGTCTATCTGTTTTACAAATGTTTCTTCCCTTTCAACTCAAAAGCATTTCTTTTAGGACAATTTAACTCAGATACACCTTAATCCCATATTTAAAAGGGTGAAAGTACATTTATTTCAATGAGGAAGGAATATGTATAACTTTTATTTCCAAATATATGTCATCTCCATCCTTTAAATCCTTTAATTCAATAAACTATTTTAGAGTTTTTATGCTTGTATTTTTAATATTAGTTCTTATATTTCTTTGGAAATTATGACTGTCTCTGGTGCCTAATATTTAAATATTGAATCACGTTTAATGACTACTTGGTTAAGCTATTTAAATATCTAAATAACACAAATAACCAATAATTTTGTCAATAATATGAAGAATCAAAATTAAATTTTGAATAACTGTTTTGTTCACATTTTCTTTACCCACAGATATTGTAATGTTCCATGTCATTAGTAATTACACAATAATCTCATTTTTAGTGTATAACAAATCAGTAATAGAAATTTTTATCCTCTAGTAATAATACCCAGTGAAATCATTTTTAAAGACAAGAATACAATATACAATCCAATATGAAATGCATAAACTATAATATAGTTAGCTAGTTAATTTGTGAAAAAACATACATTTTTTAAAATTCAATATTAGTACATGCATTCTACTGGGCATAGTTTTAATCTGTAAAGTGATATCCTAGGATAATTGGTTGTTTTCTTAAAGACTTTATAAGTAGTTTAGAATGATGCCGGAAAGAAGTGCTTTTTAAATTGCAGGGTATAATGCCATAGATTTTTAACACAGGTGGGAGAAATGGATCAATTCTGGTAGTTTTTCTTTAAATAGTAAACTCTAAAGTCTTCATTTTTGAAGTGAATTATCCTTTTAATGTTTATGTAATTGAAGACAATCATTTTTATTCTTTCCAGTTGGCTGGGGTAAGAAAAGATGTAATTATTCCAACACATAAAACGCTTATGGGATAATTATTAATATAAAAATATTTTTCTGGTTTTCAGTTTTTCTCTGGAATATATTTTACATTACTTTGCATGAAAATAAGCCATAATTTTTATCGATAATGTTAATGTATTTTTATTTAGGTTATAGTGTCTGGAGACTTATGTATGTGTATTTTTCACGTAAATGTGTGCTGTCTTCAGTTATCATTATTTTATTTAGAGAGAGACAATGCTAATCAGGATCTGTGGCTTATTGTGAGCAATTTTGTCTTTTGGAATTTCTCTTTCAGAAAAAAAATTAAGATAATCAAGATAACTATTTCACAGTACTTCTCCTTGAGAACTTTTTTTCTTGCTTCATTGTAGAAATTCTAGCTTGCATTGTAAATGCTATCCATGGAATCTCAAGACGAATGAGAAATAAGAAACTGGGATATGTGTGTGTGTGTAAAATTTACTTAATATTAAATATATAATTAAATATTTAGTAATTTAAATGATATATTTATTTAATAATTATTTTCTTATGTAGTTATTTAAAATTTTAACAAAGTGCAAAAAGAAGATGAAAAGAGTAATAATCTAAATATTTGATGTAATATTTGAATTTAAAGCAACTTCCATGTTTTAGGATAATATATCATATGGCTATCATTATCAAAGTAAAATTTTTCTTTTATTAATTACTTGGACAGTTTCTATTGCTTATTTGATAAGAATAGGTAATGGCTTAGTGGAAGAATATGTGTTTTAGGCAGTATTCTTTAAAACCTTAATCCTCAAGATAATTTGAGATTTGTCTGGGTTTATATATCATGAAGTAAAGTAAACTTCTGGCAAGCATCCAGTTAATTTTTATCAACATAGACAGACGGACCAGATAATATTCTTTAAGTGCTTTTTTTCCATTGCCTTTCAGTGACTTTTCTTTACTTCTACCCACCTAACCCTCAGAAAAATTGTTTCAGGTGCCCATTTCAAGAAATCAAAGAGGCATACAGGGCTTGAACCAATATGGATAGTAGAAAATTACTGTGTATATGAAGCATCCTTTTGTAACACACTGTGTAAATTCAAAGTAGAATATAAAGAGCTCTTAACTGGATAATATGTTATACTTGCCTTCCATAGACATTGGAATAAAGTAAATATGGATGGCTCTTATTTGCTTTGAGTCCCTGGACATACTGAAGGTGAGATCACTTATATGTGGTATCTGCCATTTCTCCCCTAAAAAGTAATGAAATCTGAGGTGACAGCTTCTTTCTTTAAATATTCCAGTACACTAAACAAAATGCCCATAGGAAAAATACCACATCTGAATATATGTACTCTCTGAAAGGTACGTTTATCTTATTATTCATAGTATTCTTTCTCCCCCCCCCCCCCCCTCTTTTTCTTCTGTAGCAGTTATATGCTGCCCAGCTAGCTGCAATGCAGGTATCTCCAGGAGGGAAGCTGCCAGGCATACCCCAAGGCAACCTTGGTGCTGCTGTATCTCCTACCAGCATTCACACAGACAAGAGCACAAACAGCCCACCACCCAAAAGCAAGGTACCCTTTTGAAGAAACCACTGTCTTGCCACTTAGTTTTATTTTTCATTCAATGGTATTTACTAAATGTCTATTATATGCCAGCAGCTAGGTTAAACTCTGGGTGTACAAGGAGGTAAGAGTCAAGTAAGGGCAACAGGTGTGCATGTAAACTTATCTGCATACATGTAATCATTCATTTATTCATTTATTCAATATGCATGTACGGATAACTATAGCAGAAAATGTGAGTGATAAAAAAGATAATCAAATGGGTATCTTGTACCCAAGGAGCTTACAGTCTGATTAGGTAGCTATGTATAAAAATAGCCAAATAGCCATACTCTATGAAACAAAATAAATTGTATAAAAATAGATAAAGTACATTGGAAGTTATATTGGGAGGCAGAGATGATCTTCAGTGAGAGATCCCAGCAGCAGTTTGCCAGAGAAGGGACAACTGAAATAGACCTTAAAATGCGAGTAGTATTAGGACCTACAGAAGGTGTTTTTAAAATATCAGTGACTGTTATAATGTGGTGCAGTGTAGATATACTTTTAGATAAATCACCCACCCAATGAGATTATGATGTAAGGAAATGAAGATAATAGTAGTGTTAGAAGTAAGGCAATTTAGAAGTAGTTTTGGTTTTTAAGCTAAGAAAACATTAGAACACATGGAAAAGGATCAGGGAAAAGTCAAATAATGTATGTTTCTTGGTCTAAAAGGAGAGAAAAATTGATTTTAAAATTGTATTTGTGTTAAGATCTTGCTTAAATGATATTGTGTAAATATATTAAGCTTTCCATGCAAGAAATAAGAAAAGTGATCATAAAGCGAGATTCCTTGAGATTACTCAGGGAAACAACCACAGAAAATTTGATTCTATTAGAAAATGTTGAATAGAAAGCTGACACACACACACACATATATATATATATATATACACACACACACACACACATATATATACACATTTTTTTTTTTTTGCTGAATTATGTAGAAAATTGCTTCTGTTCTCCATCCCATGAGTGCCATGTTGACATGTCTAAAGCAAACTAGGGTAAGAATAGTCACAATCGTTGCAATACACAGAGAAAAGGATTAGAAAACATTAAAAGAAAAAAATCCAAGAATCCTAAACAAATCTTTCTCTAGTACCCTGGTGGCTCTGTCAGGATGTCGTTCAGAGTTATTATATACTCCAGAGAGTAAATCAGTAAGGAGAAGGGATCAATCAATCATTTGGAAAAGGGCACTCCAGTCTCCATCTTCCTAGAATTCCCCAGTCCTTTTCCATATTACTAAAAGACAAATATTTTGGGGAATATAACTTAACCTGGACAAGGACCTTAGACCATGCTTTTTCAACAATATGTAGAAATATTTAATGAAAATGATTGTACACACTACATTGACAGTAGTGTGTACATACAATACATATGCCACTTTTAAGATCTTTTTCAGTTGTTTAATGGACCATGCATCTTCTGTGCTTAATGTATATCTAAGGCCTGGTCTGCTTTTCTTTATAATCACAACAGCATGTAAGTTTTTAAAACTTGGTAATTATTTTAACATTTATTAAATACATTTAATTTTAAAGTAGTGATAATTTTAGTGTTTCTGTGGACCAGCAGTTTTCATGTATCACCTGTAAAGAAAAATGTACTTTGGATAAAATAAATCGCTGTAGCAGCATAGTCATTGTCATACACAGATACATCTGTGAGTTATTATTCTCTGTTTTTTCCCTTGATTTATTGATGTGATTTCACATCATGTTTCATAATGAGGCTTTACATCAGGACATTTCACTTTATGATTTTAGGATATGTAGCTCACTTTTAAATGGCTGATGGATTTTTTTCTTACACTTACAATCACTTTTTATCATTGATACCTTCTCACCAGATTACTTATACAAATCATCATGAAGCTTTTGATGTCAGTCAGCCTCATCCATTTACGCATCTGCTCATTTGTCCATTCACTCATTTATCCATTCAAATGTTTATTGAGCAGTTGCTACAATGATATTTTCTTAGGTAACCATGGAAAATGCTAACGTAACTGAAGGTTTGCTTTGCTAAGATTAAGAAATTGCTTTATGAACTATATAGTTCTATACATTCATAGAACCTTATAGACTTTGTGCAAAAGAGAATGATTCTTTCAGTAGTGTCAGAAATCTGCCACATCCTGTGGTTTTATATACCTCTGTTTATTTAATACAAGTGAAAAAGTAGATTGTGTTTCTATAGCCATGATTATACATTATTTAAAAATATAGTTCTTCTTTGAAATTCAATTACTTTTTGAAAGTAAGCCTTTATGAATTTTCTATCATATAAAGTTTAAGAAAACAGTGGGTGTTGTACTTCTTTCCATCCACAATTATTGTAAAATACACAAAGGTTTAAGAATAAAGTGCCTCTTTTCAAGTAACAACAATTTAATAAAAATATGCCCTTTCTTTGCTCAGTGCCCTCTAGCATACTGTCCACAACTGCTCTTATTGTCAGAAAAGATTTCTTCCGTGTGTTTGTGTTTCGGCTCAGCAGTAAAATGTAGTGGGTTAAAAATAGCCACACCAATAAGTAATACTGTTGTCATTTTAATGAAGAACATGGCCAAAAAAATACCACCTATAGTAAATAAAGAGGACCCATTACAATACATGAATTTACTTTCTTGTAGCCTGGAATTGACATTTATACATAGCATAATAAACATTTTGACTTCACAAAGCTATTTTATTCATGTGTAATAGCTATCATTTATTATCATATTTATGTTTTTAAGCAAATAACTATTAATGTCTTGGGGGTATTTTCTGTGTGTTTTATTGGCAAATTTTCATGTCTGTGTTACCATAAAATAGAGTTATTTTACTAAAGGATTTTGTGTTGTCTACATACTTACCTGGCATAAACCAAATTGATGGTTTAAGTTGAAAGTATATTTGCTCTTTGGAACAATGGAATTGTAAGTCACATCCAGGTGACAATGTGAAGATAATGATCTTATTGATAGCTGTCAAAAATCTACCATGTTCTCTGAGTTGCATTGCCTGCCTTTCTTCCTGGGTATGCCTTTGCCTTTGACTCAGAACTCTAGAGAAGGACACAAACAAAACTTATTTGCAATTTGCAAAAAATGGAAGGGGGGAATCGAAAGGAGGGGGCTCCAAAAGACTGTAAAATTGTACAGCATGAGTCCTCTGATGCATGCTGTTTTCAATCTGCTGTATGCCAGTTGGAGGCTTGGGGAGTGTGTGCGCGAGAGAGAAAGGATAATGCTGAGAAATGATAGAGTGGCTGTGACCTCCAAGCTCAGCCTGGAAATCCAAGACATTGATTTCACTTAGCATTCCTGCTGAGAAATCTGGCGGAGTTCAGTTGTAATAAAAGAACAAGATTCTGTTCTAATGGTAATGGCGTATGACAGACATATCACTTTGTCTGTCCTCAGCACCAGAGAGAGGAGAATTGGAGAAAGGTCACCTGACCTGCCTGTGGTGTTGTACGAGTGCTGTACTGAGCTTTGAACTGCCGCCCAGGAGCATAATTATTTATAATATTAAATGATAAAGAAACCTTTAGAGGACTCACAGTGAACCTCTGAAAACGGCACACTGGAATTGTGTTCTGTAAATCTGAAAACACGAAAAGAAATCTGGTCTGTTCAAAATCTGCATTCAAGAACATGCATAGTGTTGCTTGTTGAGTTACAGGTCCTTGAACTTACTGTTTGTGAACTGTTTGCATTAATGCCTGACATATTGTCATGAGTTACTTTTTCTTTTCTCAATGCCTTGGTTTTATTGGTCCCAAGCCAAATATATACATACATATACATATATATAGTTATATGTATATACATACGTATATATATGTATATGTATATTTTCCCCCCCCATGGTCTATCTTGCCAAAGACTGGATGATACAGAATTAAGAGCATTGACAGACTTTAAAAATTTCTCAGCTGTTACAATAAAATATTTCTAAATACTTGTACATTTGTCTCTTTAGCAATTATTTAATTTGCTCCCTTTTGGATGTTACTCCAGGACTGTTTTTTTCATTGGCCCACAAAAGCGAATATGTTTAGCTCTATTCTAGCTCTTGTATGTCCTAACAGCTAAGTTTATGGCTAAATGTCGGTAAATAAGTCTGAGTGAAAGTATAAAACCTTAAAATTTTATGACAAGAGATCCTGTTTAATGAAAATTATAAAAATAATTATACCTTCTCACATTAAAGAAAATTATTTAATTGAGTTATTGTTAAGCAGTATTGACATTTGAATTACGTATACAATAGTGTTGTTTTGAATCTGCTTATAGCCTTCACAAGTGTTTTAATTATTTGCTTGTAGTTTAACTTTCTGCCACAGAAGGAACTGCAATGTATTCAGCAACTTTCATTTTTGCATGACATATTTATTTAAATGAATTTCCACATACTTTCGTGTAGTCTTTTAAGAGACTAGATGACCTTTGCTTTGTTATAGTAATTGATCTTTTGGTACATTTGTTTTCTAAAAATAAATGATTTCTTTTAAATTTAATGGAATCAGTATCAGACTTAAAACAGTTACTTTAGGAGGAAGAGTATTTAGACTCAGTTTCACACACAGCTCATAATAATTGTTAGTTATGAATAGGCTTATAGTTCTATGTTATCAAGAAGTCTTCAAATGTTAAGACTTGGTGTGCTAAAATCCAGACTTCACATTGTAAGTGTTCTGCCATTGTAAAAGTAGCAACCTCTTGGGAAAATCCTAAGAGCAACTTGTAAATACTATTAAACCTCCCTTGGTATTTGATGGAAACTTACATATTGCCGGCAGCAGCCAAGAACAGTCAGTTTAAAAAGCCGATGACAAGAGAGAATTCCTGGGTGCTTTTCTTTTAACCTTACCATGACCCTAGTCATACCCCAAGTCACAGTTGTGTTTCTATCAATGGCAAGAGCACACAGATTGTCCTAATCAATTTTTTTGTTCTTTTCGAA